TTCCACTCACTACTACGAATCTACATCCCCTTCAGAAGTCTGAGATCCGCTAGTGAGCGACGCCTCGTGGTACCATCACAGAGAGGCTCAAAATCACTTTCCAGAACATTCTCGTTCACCGTTCCTGGCTGGTGGAATGATCTTCCCACCCCTATCCGGAATGCTGAATCCCTGACAATTTTCAAGTGGCAGCTGAAAACTCATCTCTTTAAACGCTACTTGACTTCATCTTAAAAAAAAAAAAGATTTTTTTTTTCTTTCTCTTTATTTATTCCTTCCCTTTTCTAGCTTGTACTTATTTGAACAATGCCTAAAACTTGGTATTTCAAGCACTTCCTGTGTCTGTTTGCCTCTTTAAGAAGAATCGCTTTATGTATTCCCCAATTGTAAGTCGCTTTGGATAAAAGCGTCAGCAAAATGACTAAATGTAAATGTAAATGTAAGAGATGAAACTGAAAACAATTGGACACATTAGCTGCAAGTCTCCTGTATGTTTCTCTTATTTATCAGTTAAAACATCTTTTAAAAATATCCTTGGTACAAGATATTTTTCTTGTGAACAAGATCAACTTTTTTTCTTACACAAACCTGAAGCTGAAAAACATTTTTTTCCTTAATATGCATTTCATGTGGCTCTCCTGAGAAAAAGACCTTCAATCTCCTCTAGAGTTTTAAGAAAAAATAAAAAAAAAAAAAAAAAAATCCCATCAAATTCTACCAAGACCACAATGTCTGCATTTTGACATCTCACATATTCGGTCAACAATTTTCTCTCAATTAACTTTGCATCCAATTTTATTTCTCCAAAAGAATATTTATAAGAAATTAATCCATTAAGTCTCCTGAGATGTAAAGAAGCAACTTCTGAGCAATCAAATGCTCTGGGAACACCAACCGAAAAGGTGGAAAAATCACAAATGAGACACTGCAGTCTGCAGTCAGATGTCAATATGAACTCAAACGTTTCTCATCAAATGATCTGAGCTGCTTTCCACATGCAGTTTATAACTCTACTAGACCTATTTGGAGTGTATTTTTATATCTCCTTAATGGAGAAGCACCTGAGCCAAAGATGATATTTCAATGAAAGTGCAGCCTATGAAAAATACAATTTTCTTTTGGAATTAAAACATCAGTTCATGTAAACTTCTAAACTGTTGATGAGTCAGATATTTCGAACAACTCGACAATTACGCTTTAAGAAATTGCTTGTTTCCCTGTAAGTGTTTGTGTTGTTTTCTCTGAATAGCTTTATTCAGCTCTATTTCACATTCTCAGAACCGTACCTGGAGTACTTTCTCATTTTACTCAAGTATTATTCCGTTTTATTGATGTGCTCTAGGAGTTTATTAGCGGGATTGTGTTTTATCCGCTTTGTGATATTGGCACTTTTTTCTTTCTGGGGTTTATTAACGAGTAATACATCTTCAGCGATTCGACGCTTTTGTCCATATGACTTCAGAATCCCTCATAACACCTGCTCAAGCCAAACACAGCAGCAATTATGCTAGAAATATTAATGCAACATCAATAGGAAATAACAGACCTGTTGAGAATATTTCATGCTTTTGCAATAACATAAAATATACAAAACATTCAATGCATGCCTCACTTCTTTCACTAGTTAAAACTCAATGAATTGGCTTGACGAGCGCAGTTTCTTTTCCTGCATTGATGCATTTCTTATTGAAAAGGCTATTGAAGACCAAAACATGTCACACAAGTCAGCTTGTACCACAGACAAAAGCCATACACTTACAAAATAAACTCGCACTTCTCAATCAATTGGTGCTTGAGAAAGGAAATAAAGTATGTGCGTTTGCACAACCAAAGAGACACTGTTGAGTCATGATTTTCTGCTTGCTATTTTGTCATCCTGTAGGAGTAGCATTTAAATGAGCTCAAAGCTAAAGTAAAAAAAAAACTCAAATTTTGACGTCATGAGGTTTTTAAATTGCTGCATTAATTTTGCACATGAAAATATGAGCCGGTTTGCAGCAACGTCTGACAGAATGTGCGCCATGGGGTTTGTTGGATTGCAATACTTTTGTTAATAGAATCTGTGGCATCTGAGACTGTCAGACAGTCTCAAAAACAACTCCAAACAATGTCCTTCTGTGAAGCGCAGACAGTGAGCTGGTAGACGGGTCCAGACGGGCAGGTGGGTTGGTTTACACTTAACAGTGACAAATAGGTATAAAACATGCTTTGTATGACGGCTTTACTGAAAGCAACTGCATACTGCAAAAATTATATTCTTTAAAATCACCATATATTACCTTAACCTGATTTATTTAAGAATGAACATCAATAAATTGTTACAAATACAATAAAAATTGTTAAAAGACAAATGCAAATTCAAAATTGTATTCTTTTTTTTAACAGAATTGTTATTCTATGAAATATATTTTCATATTTAGTCATTTTTTGTAATAATTCTAATTATATATAGTAATTTATATTATAGCAATTTTATAATAATTACTTGATTAATTTGGAGTAATATTCGTATTATATTTATTAGATTTAATAATTCAAAAAATGTTAAATAAGAAAATTTTCAGTGCAGGATTTTTATTTAATTTTATTATATTTATGATCAAATGAGCTCACAACAGGCCAGGGTTATTATAGTTAATAGTTATTATAGTTAACTAACTTATATTAAGTAAAACAAAACATTAAAAAAGAAAACAAATATATATAATAACTTTATAAATAACTTTTTAAAATTATTTCAGCTAGTTGAACTTGTACTAAAATACCTGAAGTGGAAATAAAAAAAACAATAAGAACTATAAAGAAATAAAAACTTCTAAAAATGACAAAAGACAACATTATTATTAAAAGTTCAAATAAAATTTAAAATAACATGGGAAATATAAAAATAAATTCCAAATATGAATAAAAACTATAAAAAATAAGAATGAGAAGAATCTCAATTATACTAAAATAGCACTGCATTAGGCAAAAAAAGTTGTAATAAAGTTATAAACAGCATGAAGTAAAAGTTATTCAGAAACACCTTTGTCTGAAGACGCCTGAGGTTTTCTTATTGGCTTTTGGTGGCACAGCCTTTAGTCTAGAGGAAATCAAACAGATTTTGGGATTAATAGTGACATGTATCAGAGAAGCTTTTATGCACAAGAAAATACAGTTGAAGCACTGAATGGACTCAAGACTTCGTGAATGTCCTGCACACAAACAAAACCGTGGACGTGGTCACCAAAGCCATGGTGCGTCCACCGGCACAAAGCCAGACGCAAATCAATTATTTGGCATTTGGCGGTGTTGCACATGGACGATTGGTGAATGCACTACAGAGACACGCTTTCAGCACCGGAGTGACGCAATCTTGGATTTATGGCAGCGAGACGAGCCGCAATACGCAGCAGGTGCGGCTCCTCACATGCTGCCAGCAGTGTTATCACGTGCCTCCTCTTGTGAGTCTGGACCAGGATATGTGCATATCTCGCCTGCTATATAATATCCCCCAGAGCAATGCTGGGAAAATACCTGAAGTACATGCTGCTCAGAATTTTAAGTAGTTATACTGCAGTTAAGATGCATGAAAAAAAATAATATATATATATATATATATATATATATATAATTATATATTTCTCTTTCTTATGTTACACCGTTATTTGCAACAGTTTGGGTCTGTAAGATTTTTTATTTGAAAGAAAGTAATACTTTCATTCAGTAAGGATGCATTACATTGATCCAGTGTAACAGTAAAGACATTCATAATGTTACAAAAGATTTCTATTTCAAAGAAATGCTGTTCTTTTTAACTTTCTGTTCATCAAAGAATCCTAAACATAAAATCACGGTTTCCACTACAATATGAAGAAGCACAACTGTTTTCAACATTGATAATAATTAGAAATGTTTCTTGAGCCACATATCAGCATATTCAGCATAGGATGACACTGAAGTTTTCCACAATTAGTGCACTGTAAAAAAATTATTATTTTGTTTTTAATTTTAAATAAAATAAAGATCATTAGAATATGTTTTACAAGGAAATACTATTTCAGTGTTTCATTTATTCATGTTACAGTATCAATGTTTCAATGTGTTGCTTGCAGATTATTTGTAATTCAAAATGATTATTAATGTTTATTAATGTTATTAATGTATATTTTTAATGATAATAATGCTGTTAATGTTTATTAATCTTATTATAGTTTCAACGTGTTATTGCAGATTCTTTGTGATTAACGTACTAGCAATTTCTACACCACATTTTTACAGTGTGACAACATTAAACTTTACCTAATAATTTACACTAAACACAACTAATAGCTAGACACACCATAGTAAAGTTGTAAAATGCCATACACCAACTTCCCCATAAGGGTTTGGATTGATAAGAGGATAAATAATGAATGTTTTGTTCATATAAGCCAGTAATGACACTAACAGTTACTTTGTTAAACTATACGCCAACACTGCTGAGGGTCAAGAGAGAGAACATCATCCGAACGTCAATTCAACATGGAGGGCTGTTGACCCTCTATAATAAGTGGGTCCACCATTAAATAATTAAATTAAATTACTGTTCACCTCAGAACGTCATTTTGATTTGTTTCAGAGATCAGCCATCCGCCTCCGCACAACGTCCGAACAATCAGAACAACAATACTGTGTTTCCAGACACACAGGCTTCATATGCAAGCCTTTCCTCCGGCAGTCTGCAAAAAGCAAAGCAAGAATGTGCAAAAAAAACGCAAAGGCAAATCGCAGCGTAACCATAAGCGTCCTGAGACGCGTGACGTCTGACGGATCCGAGTTGAAAGGCTCAGTAAGACGTGTTTTCCCACTCCAGGTGTTGTTATCGTTTATCCGTGTTCGAGACCTTGCGTGTAATGAGTGCTTTATCAGCACGCAACAGGCCGCCTTTAGCAGTAAATCACCAGCGGTAAACAAACCTAGGCGATGACGTGATGCTGTACCTTGTAAGATAAAGCCATAATTAAACCCTCAGCTCTTATCTTCACACGGGGAATTATGTAATTTAAATCTTCGCCTTGTAAAATAGCCGCCTGAACCAATTACGGGAGGCTCACATGTGTCTCTCTCAAATGTCATTCTCATTTCAAGTAGGAATCGTTTGGGTCGATTGCTGTAACTGAAGGGAACAATTTAATCTGAAGTCCTATACATGCGATGAGGGTTCAGATTGCAGATCTAACGTTCGCTCTAACGGTCTATATCTGACGTATTTTAGAGGTGACTGGAAAGTGACTTTTAACAAAGTTCAAATGTTTTGTGTTTCGGTTCAGATGCATTCAGTTATTCTCTATGAAGCTCATAAAAGTTATAAAAATATGGTAAACACTAAAAAAATGTACCATGTATTACTGGGTGAATGTCACAAAAATCGTCAAGAACATGTTCAGAACACATTATTTTTTTTTTTTTTGAAAAGGCAAAATTTTGAAATTTCATTTCACATGAATAAAAATGAAAGGCCATTTTATTTTTTATAAAGCACACATTGGAAAGTGTGTTGAAAAATTAAAATACAAATATATTTTACTTTAAGAACTATTATTAAAATTGTATACATTTAAGTGCATAAAATTGTTCTAAATGCACATACAAAATAATAAATTATTTCATAAAAAAACTTTGTGCCCAGAAAATGTTTTTTTTTTGTTTGTTTGTTTGTTTGTTTGTTTGTTTTAATTTTCAATTTCACATTTATTTATATAGTGCTTTTCATGATACATATCGTTTCACAGCAGCTTTACAAAAAAATTAATGTTTCTATGTTACAACTAAGAGTGTATTAAATTAATGTGATTTATTTATTTTAGATTTATTTAATTTATTCATTTATTTATGCAATACAATAATGAAAATTTGTAGGGAGAAATGTGCTTAATTGCCATGAGGAAAAAAAAAAGATATAATTAAAAATCAATTAAAAAATGATACAAACAAATAAATAAATAAATAAATAAATAACAGAATGAACAAATGAATGAATGAATGTGTGGGTGAAATATGATCCAAACATTTATTTGTGTGATTCTGTTTTGTTGAAAATATACCACAGTAATACCATGGTATTCCCTAGAGTAGCTTGGAGTACCATGAAAACACCACAATTCATGAATACAGCAATCATTCAGCACTATGTGAAAACACAGCATCACATCTGAAAAATATCACAGTGTTTTTCCATAAAGGACAAAAAAATGTTAATCAGTCTATTCCAATTAAAAAAGAAAATCTGTGCAATCGTACACAAAACATACACTTCAGCAAACTGAAGTAAATTACCAAGACATGAAATTATCATAAAACAGGCAAAGGAGAGAAAAGCATGTCAATTAGCTGTGATAACTAGCGCGCACACAGTAATAATTAAAACACGCTGCTGTTAACAGTATCTGAGAATGCACCGTCGTGACATGCATTAGATTTACCCCGGCAATCTGCATCAAACGTCCAGCGACGGACGCGCTCGTTAAGCAGAAATGACTGGTGTCCATGAGCCTCCAAAGTATTCACCCGTGCCCAAGAGAAAGGTCACGGCTTTGGACGCAGCGGACTCACATCTGGCCCAAATTAGAGCGTGAAAAGGCACCGCTTCTCTCGCTGACATCCACTGCATCAGATGAGGACCGTCTGACCATCTCAAAACCGCTCAAATGATGCCAAGGCGATGCCAGTGACCACCTTTGATGTGTCAAGAATGATCTCTTATATTCAACGTGCGCCGCACAACAACAACTTCCATCACATCAGTGCAAGAGCCCAGCCATAGTGATTATTGTCACTCCATGGAAAATCTCCCATGCTCGGGTTTTAATGAAGACGGGAGAGCACGGAGAACTGGGGCAGTCCGAGACCGGCTCAGAAGAATTGTCATGTCTCTCGGGTATTAACTTACACAGCCCATTACAGCAGTAAAACAACAGGGAAACGCATGCAAAAGCCCAGCGGCTTGTCACGTTCTGCACCAGTCCTAATCTCTCTGAGATATGCATCACTGCATCAAATCCCACCGTATCCGCAGATTAAACTTGTGCGCTTGCAACAGTGTGACATTAGAAACAGATGTGCGGTGGTTGTATCATAACTTATTCGTAGTGACAGTGTCCTTTATACATCCGTACGGTGCACAGGCGTGCTGATTCTACAGCTGACAGAGAAACACACGTTCACAACACGCCGTCTTCGAAAAAGGCTTCGTTAAGATTCCCTGGGGTTTCTTTAGTCAACTCCTCCAAAGAACACTTCAGGCCAAAAAGAACCTCAATGGCACAAAAGACTTATTTAAAAATTAAATAATTTAATTTAATTAAATGGCTAGGCTTATTATTTTAGTTTCTTCTACTAAATCATGTACTAAATAGTTAATTCAAAATATGCATGAAATATGATGGCAATTAAACAGAAGCTAAATTCAAAGAATGCAAAAACAACTTTTACATGTGAAAATGCACACATGATACTGTCAATGCAATAATT